AATGGATAAAAAAGTGAACCAATTATTTCAGAAGATACACAAGTTTAAATTTATGAATTTGAAGCTGTTATCCATACAGGCTCAACAATTTTAGGCAGGAAATCACCCAATGACTGTTTAAAAAAAGGTGTTAAACCATTACTACTTTGAATTTTGCAGAGTTGGAACTAATCTGGTGGTCAGCCAAGAAGCTAGACAAAATTACTGCAGTCATTTTGCTTAGTCGTTAGACTTTTAATAAATAAATCTCTCAGTACTTTAAGGAATAGATGCATAAAAACTTGTATATAAAAGTAGTTAAACTGAAACATGCAAGTTTTGTGGAAGTGCGAACCTGAGCACGCAGGTCTTGGAAGACCTGACAGCAAATTATTTTCCATCCTAATACACATGCTGAAAATCAGAACAAAATTTATGGAGGATCTAGTTCTATTTCCAGATACTAATTGCAAATATGACAAGTGATACAAGGAAAGTAACTCTCAGTGATGACATTATACTTACCCCACAGTGGCTGGAATGCCTTGGGAATGTCATTTGTTATTGTTCTCTTTTGAAAGTGTATTCGGTTGTATCAAATTGATAATTATGAGGCACACATGACCCATCCTTCCCTGCTTTGTTTGATGAAAGCTTTTCTGCAAAGGAGAGCATATACCTGCCAAGTGGTCCATTTGATGTACATCCTCATTCCATATCCAAAGATCTTGTGTGAATTGATGTGATCAGAATTTATTGAAAGTAGCAGTTCCTTAAATTCCTATCTGTTCATTGCTTAGAGACACATTTCTTGATCCCTTTCTCCCTCACCAAAGCCAAGACCCATCCACCCAGCATATAAATTAAAAATGCCTTGCAGATTTTGGAAAGCTCAAAGAGCTAAATAGATACAAAATAACTGAGATAGTTGAGATGTGGGCCTTACAGTTAAAAAGTTGCAGAGAATCCCTGCTCTCAAGCATTACCAGCAGTAGGTGATCTAGTACATGTAGATACTCAACAGTGTAATGATGTTGCTTTAACATTGCTGTTTTATTTTAACTTTGGCAGTAAGTTTCCATTGATATTTAGCACAGACTATGGTGGGATGTGTATGCATACCCAGTTTTCCTATGATAACAGAATCATTTTTTGCCTTTGTGTTCTTTTCTTTCGTCTCAATGGTAACTGTTACACAGAGTACAAGGGAAATGTGCATGCTCCTACAGCATCATTATTGTTAAGCAAGTTCATATCAGGCTTCAATAAAACCCTCAAAAGTTCTTATAGGGCTATCACCAAAAAAGTGATTTTTCAAATCCCTTAATTAAAGTTTTGACCTTTTACAGGGTTTTTTGCCATAATGACCTTATAGTAGACTGCAGTTACAATATACTGTAATAGTAGTTTTACAGGTTTTTAAACTGTTTTTCTGAAATAGTTTAAACCCAAGCAATTTATAAGCAGTCAGAATAACCTTGCAAACACCTACATGCATGATGTGTGCTGCACATAATTTGTTTGGTTTGTTCAAGGAGCTGTGAAAATCCTACCACTTCAATTTGGGGTGTTAGAATAAATAGGAAGGAACAGTTCCCTATCTCTGCTTTCTTGTTTCTGCATATTTCAAATGCATCTAATTATACCTTGGTGCTTTTGGTGGCAAAATGGATTGTTCCTGAGGGGGGATTTTTCTTTGTGTGCATGCTAGAGTAATGGTGTGAGGAAAGAGCAAGTCTGATCCTTGACTTCATCCCCCAAGGTACAGAGAGGGCTGATCTGCAGGATGTGTTTTCTGAAATGGGATACCACAATTCATGGTTTCTTGCTATTGAGGATGACCACACAGCCTGTTGGATACTGGCCCTGCTAAAAGCCTGTTTCCTTAATCAATGATAAGAAACGCTGAATCACAAGGATGAGAGCTCTCTTAAGTAAGCATGTAACTGCGCGTGTGCTAACTTGCACCACATAGTTGTGTTATTCTTCTCTGCCATCTGCCACTGTGAAAACTCCGAGATCCACATAGCTTACAAGAAGGCAATGAGAAAATATCCAACCTGTCCCAAGGCCGTGTTGTGTTATTATGTAGCTGTTGTTTCGATTTACTGCAAGAGCTGCTTCTCAGCATAAAATAATGAGTTAGGTAGTAAAAGTAATTTCTGTGGGCATTAAGGCAAGTGATGTGAAAAGTACAGCTCAAGATTTTAGTATACAGAACTGTTAAAGAGGGGTGTTAATTTTCTGGCAAACTAAGCAATACATCCTGAAGCATTCAAGATTTGCTTTTCCCTTACAAAAAATGAATTTAATCTAATTTAACTGCTTGCTCAAATACCCTTTGTTAAGCAAATGAAATATGCTTTCATTCATCTTTTGCATAGAAGGAGGAAAAGTTCCAGAGCTTCTAGATGGAAGAATAGGTGGCTGTAGGATCACAGACTCTATCTTCAGTTTAACAGGTTCACTCAGAGGTTGGGAATGAAAATAAGCACATCTTTGTATTTGATGTTTGCTGTTTTTCAGGAGTAAATATACCATTTGCAGCTCCCACAGGAGGAGCAGCAGTGGGACTCAGCCAGCAGCTGCTGCTTGCCCTGCTAAGGGTAGGGTACCTGTTCCCCTGGCCCTTCCTGAGTATGTGCACACACCTGCAGCAGATCCTCATATAGTCTCCTTTCTAAGAAGAGTTGCTAAGCCCATGTTCGGGTTTAGCCCCTGTCAGCAGCCAAGCAGCACACAGCCACTCGCTCACCCTCCCCCCCGGTGGGATGGGGGAGAGAATTGGAAGAAAGAAAGAAAAACTTGTGGGTTAAGAACAGTTTAATAATTGAAATATAATAATTATAGTAATAAAAATTGTAGTGAAACGGAGAACAACAAGAGGGAGAGAAACAAAACCCAGGAAAAAACAAACCACCTGCTGACCGATGCCCAGCGCAGCCCCAAGCGGCGATCCTTGCCCCCCCAGCCAACTCCCCCCAGTTCATATACTGAGCATGACGCCATATGGTATGGAATAGCCCTTTGGCCAGTTTGGGTCAGCTGTTGTGGCTGGGCCCCCTCCCCGCTTCTTTTGCACCT